TATGACACTATCCATTTCTGAAATCTTGTTGTTTATCTTTTGGATTTATAATTGTTATTTTTATATGATTTCTAGTTGTGAATTTATTTTGGCCTTTTGTTCCTGTATCCTGAATTCTTCCATTTTTTGGTCTGTATTTTCCATGAATGTGTCTATTTTTTCCTCATTTTTGTCACTTTTTGCTTCAACTCTTGGATCGCTCTGAATAGTAGAGATTTGAATTCCCTATCAGGTAGTTCTGGTGCCTTTTCTTCTAATAGAAAGTCATCTGGTGTTTTATTTTGGATGCCTACTGGAACCACCCTGTCCTGTTTTTTTATATGTTTTGATTTTGTCTGCTGTCTTCGAGACGTTCAGTACTTATTTTCTTCTTTTATTGATTGTAGATTTGTTTGTTTCATCCTGTTTTTCTGTCTTATTTTGTTATGTCTTAGTAGGTGGGATGTGCATTCTTTACTGTTTGCTCATCTGGTGGACACAATATTTTTCACCTCCTTGTCCAATGGGCAGGTCCAGTCACTCAGCAGTGGTGCAGCAGGGCAGGTCCAGCTGAAGAGGAGTTGGTGGGACGGGTTGTTTGTGGCACATACTTGGGCCGACAAGGTGAGCTGGGGGTCTGTACAGAGCAAGTTCCGGTAGGCTGTGCCTGTGCTGCTCAGGAGTGCAATGTTCAGCACATGGTGCAGATGGGCAGGAGGGAGAGAGAAGGGGAGGTTGTGATGTGTGGTGCTAGATTGTGTATGGGAAAGAAGAGAGAGAGGAGAGACAAACAGGAGCCAAAAAAAAGTCCTGCGGGAACTTGCCATTGGAGTGAAGAGACAAAAAACCAAGAATGAAGAAAACCAAAAAGGAAAAAAATAATAAAAATAAAAATTTTTAGAAAAAGAAAAAATGTCCCCAGGGATCCCAGCAGTATGGCTGCGCAGACTGGTGAAGCGGTTCCCAAGCTGTGCAGTACATACTGGCAAGAAGGGGTGGAGATGACACACAGCACCAGGTATTCAGGGGACAGGAAAAGAAGATACGTAGAGACAAGAAACCGAGAAATGAAGAAAAATAAAAAGGATAAAAGAGAGAGAAAACAAACAACACAAAAAAGAAAAAAGAAAGCTGCCAGGGATCCCACCAGCATGACGGCTCAGACCAGGGAAGCAGTTACCCAGCCAAGCAGTGCTTCACAGCCTGTCAGGAAGAAGCAAAGATGGCACATGGAGTCAAGCGTTAGAGAGAAAGGAGGGGGAGGAAGTGAGAAGCGGGGAAGAAACCAAAAGAGGACAAGAAAATCAACACCAACAACAAAGAAATGGCAGTGAAGAAGCCAGTGTCAGTGGGGTAAATCCTTGAGGCACAGAACCAGCACCTCCTGTGCTTCAGTCATGGCCCACCGGGAAGCAGTGAATTGGCCAGCTGGGAGGCAGGAATCGGCATGTCAGGAAGCTGCGGATCAGCCAGCTGGGAAGCGGCAAAGGTTGAGCAGGGCAAGGCAGTCTGGAAGTTGGGAAAGCATGTCTCGCTGGTTACCGGCTACTCTGTCTCTTGCTGGGAGCTCCGTGAAGCTGCTTTCCTGTACTCCCTGTCCACCGATCTCCAGCAGTTGGTGGATCCACACTGCATTAGCTGATAGGTGACCTCCGCCCCTAATTCTCCTTACTCTCTGTTAGTTTCTTATTACGTTTGGTGCTTGACTGAGTTCTTTATCTCTTCATTTGACACTTAAGGTTACAGGATTAATGTTTGTCTCTGTTTTACTTAGTTTTTCAGGTCTTTGCTGTGGAGGGACAGCGTGGTGGTTCCGTCTATAGCACCATCTTGGCTCTGCCTCCTGAAATGTATTTCTTTAATAATGACTGGAAAGTCAAAGTTGCTCCTTGATCCATGGGCTGCAGAATGGATGTTGTGTTAGCAGGCATGAAAACAACATTAATCTCCTTGTACATCTCCATCAGAGCTCTTGGGTGATCAGGTGCATTGTCAATGAGCAGTAATATTTTGAAAGGGATCTTTTTTTTCTGAGCAGTAGGTCTCAATAATGGGCTTAAAATATTCAGTAAACCATGTTGTAAACAGATATGCTGTCATCCAGGCTTTGTTGATCCATTTATAGAGCACAGGCAGAGTAGATTTAGCATAATTCCTAAGGGCCCTAGGATTTTCAGACTGGTCCATGAGCATCGGCTTCACGTTAAAAGTCACCGGCTGCATTAGTCCCTAACGAGAGTCAGCCTGTCCTTTGAAGGTTTGAAGCCAGGCATTGACTTCTCCTCTTTAGCTATGAAAGTCCTAGATGGCATCTTCTTCCAATATAAATCTGTTTCGTCTGCATTGAAAATATGTTGTTTAGTGTAGCCACCTTCATCAATTATCTTAGCTAGATCTTCTGGATAACTTGCCGCAGCTTCTACATCAGCACTTGCTGCTTCGCCTTGCACTTTTATATTATGGAGATGGCTTCTTTCCTTAACCTCATGAACCAAACTCTACTAGCTTCAGACTTTTTCTTCTGAAGCGTCCTCACCTGTCTCAGCCTTCATAGAATTGAAGAGATTTAGGGCTTTGCTCTGGGTTAGGCTTTGGCATAATGGAATGTTGTGGCTGGTTTGATCTTCTATCCCGACCACTAAAACTTTCTCCATATCAGCAATAAAGGCTGTTTCAGTTTCTTGTCATTCGTGTGTTCACTGGAGTAGCACTTTTAATTTCCTTCAAGAACTTTTCCTTCGCATTCACAACGTGGCTAACTGTTTGGTGCAACTGTTTTGGCCTATCCAGGCTTTCAGCATGCCTTCCTCACTAAGCTTAATCATTTCTAGCTTTTGATTTAAAGTGAGAGACATATGATTCTTCCTTTCACTTGAACACTTGAAAGGAACACTTGGAGGCCATTGTAGGGTTATTAATTTGCCTAATTTCAGTACCGTCATGACTCAGGGAATAGGGAGGCCCGAGGAGAGGGAGAGACACGGGGAACCACCAGTCTGTGGAGCAGTCAGAACACACACAACATTTATCGATTAAGTTTGCCATTTATATGAGTGTGGTTTGTGGCACCCAAAAACAATTACAATAATAACATCAAAGATCACTGATCATGGGTCACCATAACAGATATAATAATAATGAAAAAGTTTGAAATATTGCAAGAATTACCCACATGTGACACAGAGACACGAAGTGAGTACATGCTGTTGGAAAAATGGTGCCAATAGACTTGCTCAGTGCAGGGTTGCCACAAATCTTCCATTTGTAATAAACACAATATTTGTGAGGTGCAAAGCGAAGAGCAATAAAACAAGGTATGCCTGTATTTGTTTATTTCCTTGTCTTCCAGATTACCATGTAAGTTCCGTGAGGGCAAGGACTGTTACTTAGATCTGTAGTAACTGGAACAGTACATAGTGCATAATAATGGCTGATACTTACTGTGTGTCAAGCTCAGGTCTAAGTACTTTGTTTCACTCATCAATTTTTACAGCAACCTATGAGGGAGGTTGTGAGATCCATTTCAGTTAACAAAACTGAGGTACAGAGATGTTAAATAGCCCACCTAAAGTCACACAGCTGTTAAGTGGCTGATCTAGGACACAGAAGCTTCCCAGTGAATATTTGCTGAGGTGAACTTGATACTATATCCACCTGCTTACCTGACTTCCCCTTTGGCAAGTCTCAAGAGCAACTGAAGTCTACAAGTCCAGAACCAACCATCTTCTATTTTATTCCCATCTCAGTCTTCTCTCACTATCTATCTGGTTAGGCAAGCTGGAAACCTAAGAGGGATCTTTGACTTCTCCCTTTCCCTCACCGGTCACATCTCATCCATCACCAGGTCATCCAGGTCATGTCCCTTATTTCTCTAGAAGCCATCCACTTTTCTCCATCCTCCGACCACTGCTTTAGTCAGGCTGCCCTCACTTCCCATGTGAACTACTACAGTAGCGCTGAACTGCTCCCTTGTGTCCACTTTGAACTTGCTCCAGTACAGTCTCTGAATGATAGCCAGAGAGTTTTCAAAACACAATTTGACCCGTTTTACTCTGCTTACAATCCTGTAATAGCTTCTCATTGCTTTTTAGATAAAGCCAGAATTTTTGTCCATTGTTGTCCATTCCTGTCCATGCTTACCTTCCCCAATGAGGTCCGATCTTCCTTTAGGTGGTTTCATATAGTAGGTACTCTGTAGAGATTGGATTAAGAAATAAGCATTTTTTTTTTGTCTTAAAGTGTTACCACTAAATTTCCTTATATAATAACTATATTTATTTAAAGTACTTGGTTTTAGCATAATTCCCGGGTAGAATTATGTGCAGATTGAAGTTTAGACACTGAATTTCTGAGACAAGTGATAATTTGGTTTTTCCTCCACTCAAGTAGTCCATTCATATTTACCTGCTCTGATAACTGGAATGTGGTACAGCATACCGTCCGCCCCTGGATTTCCTTTGTATCTCCTCTAAAAATGTAGCTGGTTTTTTCAAGTTTGACAGAATGGTTTTTGTGGGAAATTTGCCGTTTTAAGTTAGGAAGACAGGTCCCCTGTCTTACTGCCCTCCAGAAGCTGGTGTAATAGAACAAGCATACTCAAGACATCTTAGACTAAATGCTGCTGTAAACCACAATGGAAAAACTGCAGCAAAGTATTCCCAGTAGAAATCTTGGAATTCCTTCAAGTGCATTGAGATTTTGTTAGAAATTGAATTGCCAGTGTAATCCATCTTCCTTGTGAGAAAACATTCAGATAAAGAGCTGGGGCCTAGCAGCATTAACCATTAGAACATCCCTTAAATCAATAAGCTACAAATCTGGCCGCACATTCCTGCAGCGCCTGGTGGTGCACAAACGTGGCTCTAGGCTGCAGCAGCATGACTGATAGCACCCCCTAAACACGGGCAAACTGCACAGTGCTGCAGATTTTTCAGTTATAGCAGGGCTTACCTTGTTTAAACTCTACAAAATTATATTTTATCGATGCACATAAGAAAAGCAGTTTTTCTTTTGTTTTTCAGATTGTCCAAACGTGGTTATTGAAGGAGTTCTCCATGGAATATTTTACCCTCATGTACAGCCCAGGTAGAAATCCTACGTGGCTAAGAGAAGCTGAAGCAAGTTTTGAAGTCATTGTCAAGGACATTGATATCTACCAAATTAACCTAAACTCTATGACATAACAGCTCTAGCTAGTGGTAAAATGCACAGTCACAGCTTAATTCAGGGCAGGGACATTTCCATTAGAATGGTGCTTTTAAAAAAAAACTGAACCTGGATGGTAGTCAGGTTAAGGCCAAGTGTTTAAGAAGTAGAATGTAGCTGCCAGCTTAGAAACGTGTGAAAAAGAAGTTGCAGGACATCCCTGGGAGCACTGAGTGTAACAAAACAGAGTTACTGTATGCTCCAGTAGCACCATTTGCTAATTGAAAATCATATCCTGACTCATACTAAGACTGATCAACTTTTTTGTTCAGATTTTATGACACACTAATCTTTTCACTGTGAGATTTTCTCAGCCATTGATGGGTACATTCTGAAGTGCTGGCACCAGGCAAGTGTCACAGAAGCACACTGCTAAATGTGAGGAAGGAACTAAACTGGAAATTAAATTATACTAACAATATCATAGCGTTTTAGAAATCATGATTTTTTGTTTACAGTAGAGTTGCATCATACCCAGGGGTTAGTTTCTCCATCAGCCCATAAGATAAAATGGGGTCTTATCAAGATTATCTTTGAAAGCGCTTTACGAAGGCCCCATATTGGAAATCTGTACATCCACCACAACCAGTTTTTTTTCTCCAGTGTTGCAAGAAATGACTGTTTCTTCAGCTGAAGACCAAATGAAGTTGTTGGTGTTTGTTCAGGGGCCATTTTATATAAGAAACACATACCTTTAAACACTAGACTCAAACTCAGCCCACAAAATGCTTGCCCTCTGAGAAGCAAAAGTGAACTGACGGTGAGGGAATGCCAGATTGACAACACTCATCTTGGTTTACATTCACTGAGTAGGTGGTATTGCCACAGCATTAAATGTTATTTCCTTTTCACTTACCTCATATATCGGATCACTATAAGTTAAAGTATTTATAATAAAGAACATTGAAGAAGAATTGATGCATTTGAATTATGGTGTTGACGAAGAATAGTGAATATACCATGAACTGCCAAGAGAACAAACAAATCTGTCTTGGAAGAAGTGTAGCCAGAATGCTCCTAGAAGCGAGGATGGCAAGCCTATGTCTCATGTACTTTGGACATGGTATCAGGAGGGAGCAGTGCCTGGAGAAGGGCATCATGCTTGGTAAAATAGAGGGTCAGTGAAAAAGAGAAAGACCGTCAATGAGATGAATTAACACAGTGGCTGCAACAATGGGCTCAACATAGCAATGATTGTGAGGATGGTACAGGACCGGGCAGTGTTTCGTTCTGTCCTCACTATGAGTCAGAACCGACTCAACAGCACTTCACAACAACAACAAAGTGTTTTTGATTTAACTCTACTGTACTTCAAACAGACGTTCATATTTATCTTACATGTTTCTTATAAAGGGTAAAAGCATATACATTACTTGTATGGATGTGCTATATTTGGGCATTTCATTGAAAACTAATTAATGGTTAGCCTATTTATGGTTATTAGTTTTATTAAGCTTCTATGTGGGAGAAATATATTTAGAATCAAAACTAATAACTAAATCATGCCTTTTGATTAGGAACTAAATATATAGGTTTAAAGCGTGTTCATTAGGATCTAAATATATAGGTTTAAAGCCTGCTGCAAACTCTTGAAGATGTTTTATGATAGATTGTTACCACTTATTGGAAACAGTACTAAATAATCAACCAAAAATAACTGTATAGGCAAGTATTAGAAATATTTTTAAAATGTTTTTGTTATTAGCTATTTTGAGTTAAATAAAAACAAGGAGTAAAGCACATTTGAGTCTTCTGTTCTGGGATTCTATTTGAAATACCAATTGTCCCTTTTTGATTGTGGTAAATATATATATAGCAAAACATTTCCTGTTTGAACATTCTTCACATGTACAATTTGTGTGTCTCTTTACACATACACACACACATACTCTAGGCACTGGAACAAAATGTCCAGCTGCCACCACCTGTATCACAATTGTCTCTCCACACCCATAGTGTTGATTGCCAGCAACCACAGTCCAAAGCAGCAGGAAGATGGTCTTTATCATCTTCCACCTTCCACCCCACATCTCATGAACATACATCCAGTTGACAGAACCTTAATCTCATTGAGATTTCCAGCTGCACGGGAGTCTGGGAAGGGCTTGGCAGCTTTCTGGTCCCTAAAGTTCAGGACTGCACATTGGAAAGATGATGGAAAATATTTCCATGGTTGAAAAGTTAAGAAAAACATCTAAAAGGATATATAAAGAAGAAAATTCTTCTACGGAGTCTCCTATATTCCCAGTTACCTTCCACAGACAACTACTGTACTTAGTTAATGTATATTCTTCCAGAGACATTTCATCCACAGGCAAGCAAATACTGTACATTTAGTGTACATATATTCTATCTCCCCCCTTTTACAAAAACGGTAGCGTAAATACTCATTTTCTACCTATTTTCATTACATTTCACTTATTATCTTGGTGATCTTTCCATATTAGTACATAAGTGCTTTCTCATTTTTATCGTTACATGAATCTGCTATGACTTATGTAACTAGTACCATATTAATAAGCATTTTTTAATTATAAAAATGCTATAGACAATAACGTACATATATTGTGAATTTTTAGAATATTTTCATAAAGCAATTATAAAGTCAAGATTAAAACAGCAAAAACATTCATTTAAAAAACTCAGCAGGCTGTCAGACATCTTTATGCTTGATTCTATGATATTTTACTCTTGGGTTTTATTGGACACAGATGCCCCATTTTGCTGTGCAGGTTGTGCACTGCACAAATCCAAGCATGTCATTTACAAAGACCATAGTGTGAATGGTATTGCCCTGAGTCACGCTTAGAGCCCTGCACTTGGGGAAATGTCAAAAAATCTAGATCATTCAATGCATGTATTCATTAACAATAGAAAAATAAAGGGTAAATAGAAGATCACAGAACAAAAAGAAGGAAAAGAAATTCTCTTGCTACTTAAGACAGGATATAGGGACAGTCCCTACTCTCCCAGCCCCCTAGTTCTTGGACTTGGTGGTTTGGCTGGGACTGGCCTCAAACCATCTCCCAATGCTTTTTCATGTGGAGTCTCCCTCAGCCCTGACCTCCATGGCCTGGCCATTTTGCATATTTGGAGCCTTGGTGTCCTTTCTCCTGGCATTGGTCTGGCTGAGGCCTCAGAGGCCTCACACACCACTTACTCCCTCCCTATCTAAAACAGTTGGTGAGTGTACAACCCCAGTAACACCATGACCATCACTACCTTGTAAATCCTACATTCATAAGCTCACTGAAAAATGTGGAAATGTCATGATTACAATTAAGAGAAATAACATGATCACAGTTTAGAGATAACAAATGGCTTTTATTTTACTTTTCAACCTTGATCAATTGATAGTGGCTGCTGGAAGTGCCGTGTTGAGAAGAATTCTTAGTAAGGATAGGCTTTGTGGTGAGGGAGCAGTAATCAATTAGTGAATCAATTAGTGACATCTGCCACGGGTGCAGGAAGAGTTCTGGCACACGTTGTTAGGTGCTGTCAAGTCAGCTTTGACTTGTAGTGACCTTATGTATAACAGAATGAAACATTGCCCAGCTATGCACCATCCTCACAATCATTGCTGTTAGAGCCCATTGTTGCAGCCACTGTGTCAGTCCATCTCATTGAGGGTCTCCCTCTTTTCTGCTGATCCTCTGCTTTATGAAACATAATGCTCTTCTCCAGCAATTGATCTCTCTTAAAGACGTGTCCAAAGTAAATGAGACAAAGTCTTACTATCCGTGCTTCTAAGAAACACTCTGGCTGTCCTTCCTCCAGGACAGATACGTTTGTTGCTCTGGCAGTCCATGGTATATTCAGTATTCTTTGCCAATGCCATAATTCAAATGCATCAATTCTTCAGTCTTCCTAATTATTGTCCAGCTGTTGCATGCATATGAGGCAATGGAAAATACCGTGGCTTGGGTCAGGCACATCTTAGTCCTCAATGTGACATCTTTGCTTTTTAACATTTTAAAGGGGTCTTTTGTTGCAAATTGACCACTGCAATATGTCATTTGATTTCTTGACTGCTGCTTCCATGGGCATTGATTGTTGATCCAAAAAGAATAAAATCCTTGACAACTTCAATTTCTTTGCCATTTATCATTATGTTGTTTATTGGTCCTGTTGTAAGGATTTTTGTTACACATACCAGGTGCCAGTCTCATATCCTTGGCAACCTTTAAGATTCTGCCACAGTACTTCTGGGATGTGCATCAGAACCACTTTGCATCCTGAATCAGTACTTTTGGGCTGCAATAGTCTCAAGCAGTTAGAAAAACAGCCCAGCTGATTCTGATACACACCTGTTGTCATGGATTGAATTGTGTCCCCCCAAAATATGTGTCAACTTGGCTAGGCCATGATTCCCAGTATTGTGTGATTGTCCACCATTTTGTCATCTGATGTGATTTTCCTATGTGTAGTAAATCTTACCTCTTATGATGTTAATGAGGCAGGATTAGAGGCAGTTATATTAATGAGCAGGACTCAACCTACAAGGTTATGTCTTAAGCCGTTGTCTTGAGATATAAAAGAGAGAAGCGAGCAGAAAGACATGGGGACCTCATACCACCAAGAAAGCAGCCCCGTGAGCAGAGTGCGTCCTTTGGACCTGAGGTTCCTGTGCAGAGAAGCTCCTAGACCAAGGGACGATTAATGACAAGGACCTTCCTCCAGAGCCAACAGAAAGAGAAAGCCTTACCCTGGGGCCGGCACCCTGAATTCAGACTTCTAGTCTCCTAGACTGTGAAAGAATAAATTTCTCTTTGTTGAAGCCATCCACTTATGGTATTTTTGTTATAGCAGCACTAGATAACTAAGACACCTATGTTAGGGACCACTCTCTGAGGGAGATGGTTTATGAACTACCTTTTAGCATCCTCTTAATGATTTCTATATTGACTTTGTATGCCTCCTTCAAAATCCAATACCAAGAAAACATCATTTCAGTGCTTAGGGTGTTGCATGTGGCCACAGGACTCTTTGAAAGAGCAGCAAGGATGTCTGACAGGTTGAGCAGATGTCTCAATCAATACCCTTTATACAGTGGGAAAGTCATATATTCATTTGTTTATCCATTCATTCAATGAAATGCCTTTGAGTCCCCCCACTGTGTTAAGGCACTGTGTTAGACACCTAAAGGAAAAAGACATAATCCTTGCTTTCTGGAGTTTTTAGCCATTGCATTCACTAGAGAGTATCTTTCCATTTTATTGAGTTGGATATAAAGTTCAGTGATTAAGTCTAATTCTCTAATTCTAATTCTCCCTGCTCTCCTTGGAATCATTTTCATTTTAATTCTTGGCTTTGTTTTTGTTTTCATCTTTGATGATAATTACAGATTTTGAATTCAGCAGCAGAAACCCAGAGATGTAGCAGACACTAACTCAAACTTTCTATACCATTTATGTTTTCTATCTATGTAGGTATGTAGTAGCAGACTGGATTCTGATGATAATGAAAGAACATTTATTTTTGTGTGAGAGGGAGGAAGGTACATTAAATATGTCAAGCCATTAAAAGTGTAATTTACACACTGAGCTTCTGTTAAGAGTGATGGAAAAATTCGGGAACAGTTTGTGATGATTGAACAAGATGGACATATTTAATGTCACTGAACTGTATGTGTGAAGATGGTTGAAATGGCAAATATTTTGTTACCTATATTCAATATTCAATTTATAATTTTAAAAGTATATTTTAAAAAGTATAATTTGGAATTTCTAGCAAAATGGCGCTGTAGGCAGAAGCACCACGCTGTCCCTCCACAGCAAATCTCCAAAAAACTAAGCCAAACACAGAAGACAGCAATCCTGAAACCCTAAAACATCAAATGAAGAGATAAAGAACTCAACCAAGCACCAAATGTAGTGAGAAAACTGAGAACAGAAAGCGAGGAGAGATTCATGCAGAGGTCCCCTATCAGCTAACGTTGCGCGGATCTGCCATCTTGGACTCCTATCGGAGACCAGCAAATAGGGGGTACGAGAAAGCAGCTTCATGGAGCTTC